TAATGGGCACCACCTGCTTGCTCACACACACACACACACACACACACACACACACACACACACACACACACACACACACACACACACACACACACACACACACACACACACACACACACACACTTTGCACACACACTTTGCACGCACTCACCTGCAGGCTGAGTGTGTGGTTGCGGCTGAGCTCCAGCAGGCTGTCTCTGGAGGCTCTGGTGGAGGGAGACAGGGAGAAGGCTCTCTTCATGTTCACCGCTCCCTGACACAGCCTCCACTGGATACAATACGTCTCATACAGTTCCTCCACCTGCAGACACACACAAACACTCTGTTCAGATACACATTCAATTAAGAAAATACATTCAGTTTCCATTTTTTTCCACAAAACTTGCTGCTGCACATCTGTTGTATGTGTTGTATCACATACAACACCTACAACACAAATGGGGGTCGCTCGGTGGCTTAATGAGACTACTAAATGTCATCACGTAGAACATTAGCCACCTTTAGCTCAGCGGTGGGGACGTCACGCGACTGTGATGTAGTTTGTTTAGAGCCTTCAGGAAATTGTATTCATGCTTTAAAAATCACAAAGTGGTGTTAATATGTGAAAATTATCTTGCTAAACAAAACATTTAAGTATCATAAATGTGTGTTTGCCTGAAGATCTTATTTTGTGCAATTTTCTAAATCCTGTTACCATATGCAAAAAAATAAAATCCACTTTTTTACCTTGCTGAGTTGAAATTCTAATCTCCGTATGTATCTCTCCAAAGCTCTGATCTCCTTTGAAGGGAAAAATATGGTTAGTTTTTTTTCAGTGTGTGTAAACTGGTGTATTTCCTATTATATTGTCCTACATGAGAGCAGGTTGGATTGTAGGAAAAAGTGTCCGGATCTGGTGCAAAGATTACCTTCTCCAGATCATACAGAAAAGCCTGTAAACAGAAAACACATCATTATTATCATAACCAGCTGAAAAACCAGTTGAACCCCCCCTCCATGTTCAGTTTCTTTGTCTCTGTCCTCACAAGTCTGGAGTTCCTCTTGGTCTCTCTCTGCTGAGAAGACAGGAAGTCCATCTCTGCCTTGTGACCCTCCAGGTACTCCCTGCACACACCAGAAAGAGACATTTCCCCTTTAACTTCTCACATGGTTTCATTGTAATAGTAACACTTTTATATAGTAGAAACAATATATTTTAATGAATGTACTGTATCTTTTCTCTCCCATACTCATCTTACCACCCCTACCGTAACACATGAGCCTGACCCCTTGACTGGAAACTCAACCTTCTAACTATATATAAAGTAGTTCAAACTAGCTCCACCTGATGCAACAGTAATGTTAATGCATCACTACAATCTAATAATGCAATAACAGCCATAACACCACCAGGTGCCATTTCTCTTTATAATAAGCACCTTTGCTTCTGTATTGGTACCCATTGTGTACATTGAGTACTTATCCCTCCACAGAATCCTATTTGTAGTATATAAGCAGCATTAAAATACATTTTGTATACATAATGTAACCCAACCCCTTTAGTAGTAGTAGTAGTAGTAGTAGCAGTAGTAATAGTAATAGTACTGGTAGTAGTAGTAGTACTAGTAGTAGTAGTAGTAGTAGTAGTAGTAGTAGTAGTAGTATTAGTAGTAGTAAACATACTTGAGTCCTCTGCGCAGCGACTGGAAGACAGTCTCCACCGTCTCCGGCTGCAAAGACCAGAGAGCTCCTCCTCTGCTGGGAGACAGTTGCATTCTGGGAGATTTACCTCCAGAATTGGCCTTGGAGTGCAGAGAGTTACGAACAGAAGATGACCTGAAAACAAAAAAATACATATATTTATTAAGACAAGGAGTGAGATAGTTGTACCCAATATTCTCTGACCTGAATGAAGGATTTTTCATATTCATAATATTACTTTAAGTTAAATTCTTATTATATCCAGAGTTATATCTAACTCATGTTCAAAGTTACGTTATTGTAAATCTGCGTCCACAATTGCTATCCGAAGGAATTCTATTTTCTCCTGGATTACGTTTGCAGTTTTAAGAACAAGGTTAGAGTCGTGAATTATTACAAAAACACTTTAAGTATAGTTATCAAAGCTGCCTTGTTAGGTTTGGAAAACTTAACCAGGCAATTATGCACTTATTACCCAAGTTAACTTATTTAAACAAGGTCAAATTATAAGTTGTTTGCTGGATCTAAGTCCTTATTTGAGTAAGTAATAAAAACAGTAGTCTGACAGATTACCAATGATCTTCTATACCAATGTAAATCAAAAACATTAATTTTTATATACCAAGTTTGTAAGGGTAACCCAGAGGGAAACATAGAAGCATTTTCTGAGCTCAAGTTATGTGATCTGACACATTAAGGTTAAGGTTTGGCTAGGGTTGGGGAAAGGCCATGGTTTGTATGAAAATGACTACATTGTTAATGTTCGTCCTTATTGTTAAAAGCAGCGGTTTGTGGAAAGGTAGGCCAACAGCTTGTTTGGTTGCCATATTTTGGACCCACCAATCCAGCCCTTTGTGCACTGAGGGTTTATTGGAAAACAGTTCCAGTTTATCTCTAATTTAGAATCACCCGACTTTGCCAAACGGACTGATGCTGTCAACTGTATTTGGAACAATGTCAGGATACCCAAAGCACTTTATAGAGTGATTTTTGATGCAATTATTGTCTATTGCATTCCTTATGTAGCATACATTCACAGTGAGAATGAAACAGGTAACTATGGTAAAATGACGGCCACCATAATGCAAAAACTAAAAGATTCTAAAATGCAATGGATGCTTAGAAATGTCAGACTCAAAGTGTTTGTGTCACATCTGTAGAATGTATTTCTCATAACATAAAGCTTCCCTCAGATTTTGCAGACGTTCTCTGTAATTATGGACTCGGCTATAAAAGTGTTTTCATGCTGTGTGATATTTGTCGTCCCTCTCAGTGTGTTTGTGGTGCGTTTATATCATGCTTATCATTATGAATTGCAAAAACATCTTTTTTGCCCTAAAGAAAATGTTTCCAATTTATGCTGATTAGATGTCTTGCTCGTAATAAGCACATATCAAAAATTATTTGGTAACTTCATCTCATATATGGTTTAGAGTACAGTAGTAGGTAATCCAACCCACTCTCTTCAGTCTGCGTACAAATGAGACGACTTTACACATTGGAAATGCGTGCAATAGATACGCAGAAGTCCGATTTTGCGTGCATATGATACGCTAACCATTCCCATTGAGATCTGAGGCCGAGTTTTGCGTGCATACAGTATGATACGCCACGTTTTGTCCGGTCGGGTCTTGGTCGAGCGGAAGCTGTGTGGTTCATAAAAACATGTTCTTACCGGTTCTTACTCAATATCAAGCCACGATTATTGTTTTTATTTTAAATCGTATAATGTCGGACTTTTTTTGCCGTCCGTGAGTAAAATAAATAGGGCTCGGAGCCTCAGAATAATGAAATCTGGATTTTTTTCCCTTCTAATTTGTTATTCTTTTCTGAATAACACACTGTTATTTACTCAACAATAACTCACAATTATCCTTGTTTTTATTTCTTTGTTTAATTCTATAATCTCGGGCTTTTTAGCCGTTTCTCAGGAACTGAATTTTAAAATAAAGTAACCAGAAACAGACGTAGGCCTATAAGGGACATTTCGAGCATCATCGCGATACACAACACAAACCCACTGAACTGATTACCCAAGATCCTCAGCTAGAAGCCCGGTGATTGGATTGTTTAGCCGCAATACATGTTGGGATATGGTGTTAATGCGATATGAAATCCGAAAAACATTTTTAAAAAAAGATATTGCGGGTTTTCTTTGAATATAAGAATGCAAATACTGAGTTGAAAGAATAGTCAGGGGATTTGGGTGATGGGAGACACATCTATGGAATCATAATTTCAATAGCTTACCATTAAATGACGCACATACCTTTCTGTCTGTGATGTTTTACAAATCAGATATTAAGGTTAGAAGTAAAACATGAGAAATAGTATAGCAATATCCTGTAAAATTATGTAAAAACATGAATAAAACTACACATCTTAAGATGTTATACATACATAAGTGTCCTACTCTAATAATACAAAGTTATTATTAGTATGCTGTGTGTACCTTGTGTGCACCGCCTAGTGGTTAAAGCACGTTATTGAATTATTTTTGTTGAATAATGTTATTTTTGTTGAATAATGTTATTTGATGAAAAAAATATTAAGAGTACATACTTTCATAGGGGGAAAGTAGAAGGTCAATGATAGAAATATAGAATATAAAAAATCAAGAAGACACTGTAAGTGATCTCTACAATAAAACAGTTTAGTGCCAGATGTACAAAGATATTAATGAGGATGTGCAAAACAGACAATCTAATTAACCTTTATTAACACATTAAAGAATACTTTAGGTTAAGGTCTTCTTTTAAATAAGAAAAAAGCTTTGGAGGTATCTACACATAAATATTAAGCCTGACAAAGTACTTAACGTCTAATATATTGCTTTCCTGCAATGTTAACTATGTTGAAACACTTATTTTAACTGATATTACACACATTAATTATACTCTTATGTATGTAGATAATATAAGAAATGTGCAGAATTTGACAGTTTAATAGTGGAGGTATACACACATATTGATAGATGTCTTGTAATGCACTGTTGAGGAACCTGTGACCCA